ACCTAGCCAAGATCGAACTGTTGTCAACTGTACCAATAAAAATATGACACAATTACCAAAGATGATACCGAATGATCAAAACATTACATTAATTCTTAAAGAAAATCAAATATCAGGGATTAAAGATATGTCTTATCTGGAGCGCGTCTATAGCTTGGATATATCAGAAAATAATATACAAAACATTCCCGAGTCTGTCGCAAACACGCTTGTATTAAACGAAGTGAAACTAAACCTTCATGGAAATACACTACGAAAAATACCGTCACGTTTTAAAACTTTGGACCCATGTGCCCTAAATCTGGGTAGGTTAAACATGCCCTGCGACTGTAGCAATGACTGGATGGATGAGTGGTTCGGTGGAGGATGTCATAACAATTCTGCAGAATTGACAGACATATACTGTATTGCCCCGTCCTATAACATTCCTGTTTCAGAGTATGATTTCAAAAACTGTGACGAACGTTTCGATTACAAAAGTTTATCAATTGGAATAGCACTACTACTACTCCTTCAGAGTGCATTCCTAGCCATACTCTATTACTTTCGTTATGAAATTTTTCTTCTCCGGAAACGCTTACGACAAGCTAGAAAGCACAGGGGACAGTATAAGTACGACGTTTATATATCTGTTCGTGAAAATAATGGCCAAATTTTAATGTGGACAGAAAGTATTTTGCTGCCCTTTTTAAATTCTAAATCTTATCATGTATTTTTCCGACCTGTAGATGAAGCTATTGGATCAGTGAAGGAAGAGAGCATCATTGATAACGTAAAAGATTCCCGAAATTTCATTGTCATCCTGTCTTCAGATTATATTGATGCCGATAACGATACGATCTGGACTCATATCGAGTGGAAACATGCTTGGAATTATTTTAAGGAAGAAAGTAATGTACGGAATAAAATAATCATAAACTATGATCATCTTCGGTCAAGTTTCTTTCCAGTTGGTCCATTCAAGGCTTATTTACACCTGGGTCTGGCTATTGACTTTTCCAACAGAAAGCATAAACTACTAGAAGAAGTTGAAGAACGACTAGGGTTACCAAATAAGTATTATTTACCAGAACAGTTGGGCCTAATGTCCTCCAAACCAAAATTTTGCTTAACATTTTAAAGGCAATAGTTTTATTCAAACATACCAGATACAAATGCTAAGAACAGCAAAGAAAAGCATCCGTATGTTGTCATTGACGACCAGAAGCAGCATAGAAATAAAGACCATACTGAGGAAGATAATAGAATCCCTGGGGGAGTACATTTACGTTCCGAAAATAACTTCAAACTCTTAGGATTTTATTCAATGACTGGATATAGGACTCTGGAACTAGTACTTACGGATATATATAAGGAACTATTTCTTTTTAAACAGACTTGTATGTGTAAGGTAGAACGACTACTAGACCATATTATTAGAGTTATGGACTACTAATGAAGTAAGTTTGATCCTAGTGAAATGTAATCACATTTATTAATGCAAATAAAATTGAAACACATACACAAATAATTGTTCATTGAGGAATATATGAAATTTACTGTATCATTTGTAGTTGTCGATTTTTATCTTAATTTGTTTGTCACATATGAAACACTAAATTGATTAAATCGTATATTTTCGTAGTGTTCCATACGTTTTCCTGATACATCACAAACCTATAAATAGGCCTAGCTTTTTGCAATCTAGTGATTTTGTGAGTTTTGCTCTGTGCCTTTGTTTTTTTTAAAAAAAGATATTTTTCGATACAAATTTGGGAGAAAAAGCTAAAATGTAGACTTACTATATTTGGATATGTAAGTATTATTTTTTTGTTCAAAATAACAAGCATAGAAAACAGATATTGTCTTTTGAAATCACCACTGATGAATAAAGACCGGAAAAAAATTATTTTTTAAAAATATATAAAATGTATAATTTAAAACATCCACATAGAAACAAACAGGCAGAGTCTATAGCAGAAAGATAAGTTTACAAGCAATAATACATATATAGAGAGAAAACTGTTTGGTCAGAAAATGTGTCCAGGATCGTAGTACACCAGTATGATATGCGAAGTGTCCGGAATTTGGATTTTCTTGATAATCAGTATTTTTTCTTATTCTATATTTTTGAAATTGAATGTTTATTCAGTTGTTCAGTAGTACAAATTATCTGGATTATATTTTTGTTTGATTCTATATATGTACCAATTTTATTGGGGTTGGATGTCGACATTTTTAAGTCTTCTCATTAAACCAGCTTTTATAGAATTCATATGTATTCTTAAGTGATTCTTCGGTATTATTGTGCAACTGGTTAAAACTTTAGGTGCACTTTCAGTGAACGGAACGTGATGAGAGTGATTTTGCACTGTTGTTCTCTTCATAGTATTACTTATACACATGCATGTTTAATATAGCGTTCGTTGTATCTACTTCACTGGAGTTGGAAAAATGACAAACAAGCGTTCTCGTGAAAATTGAATGTAGAATTTTCGATTGTCATCATCATCATCGTCATAATCCATATAACTGAAACTTTAACAGTGGAACGACAATATGTACATACACACATGTACGATTTTTCAGCCTGCGACTAAGCGACAGTATGTGCAATGATCGAGGGTATTGACACGTCTGAATTTTGTGTCTTTTTGAACGTGTTCTATATTTGAGGAATATTTCCTTTATTTTGGGGGAAAACTCGCTTTGCCTGTGGTTGAACTCCTTGGTGTCAGCTCTACTGACGTAGATTCGAAATCTATCTGTCGTGGCTGTAATTCCAAAGGAAAAATAAGATTATAAAAATTTACAACTTTATTCAACAAGGCGTCGCATGGAAGTGACCAGGGTAGGCCAAATATCCAGCGACACCGGGTTGCCTTTGGATTACAGGTCATTAACCAATCAGATTTGAGAATTAATTTTACGGAAGAAATGAAAGTGAGAAAATATACCATTTTTGGATTTGAACACGGTAATCGCAATCACGTGATCTAAAAAGATGACCCCTGAGGCTGACCAAGCTCAGAGCACCTGTGCATGGCCTAAGGCCTTGACAGATTTATAACCAAAAAGTAAAAATATAAAAGAGATCAATCTTTGTTACGTAATTGATTAAACCTTATCTATAAACAAGAAGAACATCAAAGACAGTCATGAATAAATTATTTACACATAATACAATGGACAGTTCCTGCAGAGGATTACATGATTTACTCTAAACAAGATTCAATAAAAAAAACTGCTACTTCCTCAATAAACAACAAAATACATTCTTGTACAAGTAAACATTGACATTTGAATGGATAACAGAGACCTCTTAAGTATTACCGATATGAAGTCCAAATTATAATAAAAAACATGATTTTCAGTTTATGAAAGAAAATAGTCATAACAACAAAGTTTATTTTTAAATAAAATTTGTGGAAAGACAGTATGTACACATTGTCGCCGGCGACAATATGCACAGAACGACACTACGTACCGTCACAATTGTGCTGCATGAAATATGTTATAACGGTGCTGTTTTTGATTTGGAGTGTCCCCGCTTGGCTAGTTAGGGTACAATTATGAACAACTTGTGCTGGCCTAGGCACGTCTGCGTGGTTTATAATCCAATCATTTAGCAGCCCTAACTGTGGGGCGACAATATGTACAGTGAGGTAGGCACATTATGTCGCCATCGACAATATGTACATGTTTATTTTTTCCAATATATTAGTATGTCTATGGACAACAATACATATGTATTTTGAGGGTAGGTGCATATTGTCAGAGACGACAATATGTACAAAACGACAAAATGCATCGTCACACCACCTCTAACGAGAAATATTTAAAAGTCTTCTCAAGAAATACTGGATAAAAAGATATAAAACTCCGAGACCAAGTGGTCCGTGGGGGGAAGGGTAAGGTTTTAATAGGGGATCAAAGTTTTAAAAAGAAATCTTATGTAAATATTAGTCTTTTAAAAAAATAATTATCATACAAGACCAGTTATATCATCAAGTAAAAATACTTTTGATAAAATAATAATGATAAAAATGATAAAATAAAATAGTGAACTAGAAGTAGAGCGATGTTTTACAATATAATATATATGAAAGAAAAACCTGGAAACATTTTCGAGAAGTGCTATTATTTGTCTTTTTAATATACAAGCATCCTTCGGTGCAGACTTCAACTTGTTCAAATCATGTCCATCGGTGATAAGCCGGCGAAGTAGGGAACCAGAGCTTTACGTAGGAATGTATAGGAAAGTAACGGAGCTAAGTCACACTAAATCATATTCACGTCCAAACATTGCTAAGCTGTGTGATTTTTGTTTTCAAATAATTGAAGCTGAGGTAAGGAAGGGCTATATTTAGGGATGTATCTTTAAGTTATACATTCAAATACTTAAAAGATCTCTTGAACACAAAATGCCATTAACACATTACAAAGTTGTATTTATTCAATTCGGTCTGTACGACACTCCCCCTCCCCGGACTCTTGAGGCTAGGACGAACAAATATTTTCTTGGGGAAAAAAACCCCCAGCAGGGCCAAGGTTACATAGAAGATAACAGGGTTCACTGGCCTCTTGTTAATAAAACCTTACATCATTTATTTGTTTTAAATTCCTCACCAATACCTTGTTTTTAAAGTATTGTTTCCAGATTGTTCGATAAGATTTCTTTTATATATTGATATTTTGACCTTGGTCCTGAATATCTTCCGATGCCAAAATAAAATGATGACTCCACTTCTTACTGCATTACTGCCTCGCATAAATAAAGCTTCCTCGTGTAAAAAGACCATTTGACTATTCATTGTCAAACAATTTAGTAAACACAATTAACGCTTAAAGTGCACTTGTAAATATTTTTATGAATAAACTGCACAATCAGGTCACAAACAACACTTTACCGTGTACGTAGTCACTCCTCCCGCTGACGTAGGCTTTATCGATTTACCAATAAGCAGCACGTATGCCTTTGATATATATATAGGGAACTATTAGGGTTCCCCTAAAATCTAAAATAATCAAAGAATATGTTACGCTCAACATTTAAGACGTTACAACAATTTTACCGTCCATGGTCTGGAGTATGTGGAAAGTCACCGGCATGTGATTGGGTAAGTAAAAACAATGTATTCATAAGCAAACATGCCGTCACTTTTTGCTCATCAATGTATTTTTGTTTAGCATTAGCTTTACTCTTCTCACGTTATAATTTTAGACTGTATTGTATTTTTCAGCAGACTATTAGAGGAATTGTATCGAGTCAATTGACCCAGAATCCACAAAACCAGTTTCCAACAGGTAAATTAACAACACTACTAATTCTCAATTATTAATTTGAAAACGTTTGAAGCAATGAACTACATTTCAAATGCCGAGCTTGATGGTTATATCAGGACTGTTCAGTAGAAGTTGAATTCTTGAATTAGTTAAAATAAAGAAAATATTTGGCCTTTAAATCATATTTATCGGTTGCAATGTAACAATCATAAATGTCACTGGATCCAAATAATTTTAAATTTTTAACATTTTTTAATTTTTTTTTTAAATTAGAGTAAAACCAAATGGATATATTTAAGTTAAATCTATTTAAACTTTTTAACTCCAGTTGCTAATTAGTTAGGGTATATCATGGTTTATCTTTCTACTAGTGTTAATACGAAAAGAAACAATGATGTATTCAGCCGCTCGTACATATTTTGGAAATATTTTGATCTCTACTTTAGATAATAATGTGGCAAAAATCTTATCTAGTGTATTGAAAGAGTGTAGCTTTTAATTTTAATGTTTCGCTCATTATTCCGATTTTTTTCTCCAGACGACTCCCATTTCCTACAAATAGACTGTGAAGAAGAATGCTTCCATTCACTAACAAAAGGCAACAACAGCAGCATCCTTTCTAGAGTTGAAGAAAACAAACCGGAAGTGGTTTTTCTAGAACATTTGCGGGAAACAGATTTCTGGGGGAAAATCCAAGCACCAATGCGTCATTTAGGTTATACCGGAAGTGTTGAAGATTTCCGTCATGGCCGTGTTAAAGGTGTGTTCGTGAGGAATGACCTGGTGCCGCTCCTCAATCAATGTAAAGGAAAAACTGTTTACAAATCTGAGATGCCAGACCCTTTGTAACAAAATATATGATAAGTATTAATACCTCAGAGATAATCTACCTCAAACCTACTTATAAGTTTTTATTGTATTGCCATGTTTTGTAAACATGGAGATATTCGTGACAGAATCTCGTCTGCTTAAAACCAAAGACATTATTACGATTTTTGTGCCATTTTTTAAAGATTAATAATCAGATCTTTATTTTTTTTTTTTTTTTACGTTATTGTTTATAATAGTAAACAATTATATTTATATTGTATGTGTTATTTAGAAGAATTATTCAATAAAATACAATAAATAGTTCTTGAGTTCTTTCTTCAAATTTTTGACAATGGTATAATGTGTACATGTATTCACTTAATATTTCTACTTCTGATCGTGTGTTCTGCTGAGAGACATTTAAAATGTTGAAATGTATGATATGGCTTAAAAAGATATTCAAGGTGTACATCAATCAAGACGGCTTTCTGAGTTGAAGATGAAGCCGCTTCTCTTGGACTTGTTGTATATCACCTAGCCAGTCGTATTACATTCAAGTCCTTATCATAATGTACCTTATATATATATAATTAAAAGAAGAAGCAGAAATCGAAATTAATTAAAAAAAACAAACAAACAAAACAGACAAATAAAAAAAAAAAAACCAAAAAAGAAAGAAAGAAAAACAAATAGTGAAACTGAGAAATATATAGACAAATTAAAAAAGTACACATGTTATTAAAATAATTGAAAAAAAAAGAATATAAACCTTGGTAAAAACCTTTATGAACTTAACCTTGAACAAAGAATGCAATGCATAGCAAATGATTTTGCGTGACCGGAATAAGAATATAAAAGTACGTCTAAATACATCTATCTAAACCGTTTCATAAGGCTGGGTAAAATTGATAAGAGTTAGAAATTAAATCTTTGAGAAAACTATGAATATATCATGCTTTGTTGTCGTGGCCATGAAGACTTGGCGTGATGTAAATATCATTTAATTCTACCAAAAATTGATACATATTAGAATTAATATTAAAGTATCTACAAAAATGTTAAATATATCACACAAAAAAGTGATAAAAATAATCATACTAAGGTCGTTTTTTTTAAACTAGAATTGTTAGAACATTGTTTTTTTGACTAGTTTTGACTACAGATTTCTCCGTTTACATTACCAATACGAACAACTTACGGAGAGTGTGACCTGACTATAGACGCTTATTCCTCTCCGTTTACATGATCAATACAAATAGCTTACGGCGAGTGTGACCTGACTATAGATGCTTATTCCTCTCCGTTTACATTACCAATACAAACAGCTTACGGCGAGTGTGACCTGACTATAGACGCTTATTCCTCTCCGTTAACATTATCAATACAAACAGCTTACGGCGAGTGTGACCTGACTATAGATGCTTATTCAGGACTCTCCGTTTACATTATCAATACAAACAGCTTACGGCGAGTGTGACCTGACTATAGATGCTTATTCAGGACTCTCCGTTTACATTATCAATACAAACAGCTTACGGCGAGTGTGACCTGACTATAGATGCTTATTTCTCCTCTAGTGTTTACAGAGTTTCGTGTTTTTGTCCTGATCAAGGTTCGTATTCTTCACTGACCTTGTGAGATTCATCACTGATAGAGAGCGAGCTATTCCTCAGTAGTTAAGACCGAGGTATTAATGTATGTGTATGGTTAGATAGAATAATACCATTTCAAGTTATTTCAAGTTCAAATATCGAAATAACGAAATAACTGAAAGATAATAAATAGAATTCATTAAAGACTGAATCCAATACCTACCAAAGTTATAAGTATGACTTGGGCATGTTGGGTTCTTGTAATTTATGTTAAATAAACAGAAAAACGTTTTATAAAAAAGAAAAAAGAAAAAAAAAAGAGTCAGAAAGTTTGCCCAACGCCTGACAAGGGACCTCTGTTTTAAAGGTCTCATCACTTTTACTTCTAGTCACTACTTATATCTTAGGTCAGACCTGGAGTGAGAATTGAACTCGGGACCTCCCGACCACGAAACGAGCGCTCTACCACTGGGCTACCGTGACTGCCCATTGAGAGTTATATGATTCATAGAGAGTTAATTGAAAAAAAGACAATGATTGCTTTATCTAGCTATTGAAAATGATGGTGTTACTCTCAAATTCTGATTAAGTATCTTTGATATTATTTCAAAACATCAATGATATTGAACGAAAATGAATGAACACACGGGATTCTCTTTCTTCCGTAAGACCTTTAATACTTTTCGGGAATGATAAGACATGTTTTGGATTGTTTTTACGATCATATATATCTTATCTGATAAATTATGGTTATAAAATTCAGATTATTTACGCAATACAAACACACATAAAAATAAACAAAAACTAAATATAGAAAACAGTCTTTCTGTAGTCAGAGATAGAATGTTCAGAATGGTAAACAAATATTAAATATGATCCTCGCTAGACGTAAAATGTTTTTTGAGCCCTTGGCGTCTGGGATGATTACATCAATTATAATGCTTGTTGTAAACCGATCTTCAATCTCTTTAAAAAAAAAACAGGCGGACGTTATTTTTATCAGATAAAATCAATACACTAACCTTAATCATACCTTAAGAATAAAAAAATTCTCAATGACTTTTAACGCCTATACATCATAAGTTCATTTTAATAGCCTTATATATTGAAAATTGATTCTAAATAGGTTTTTATTCATTATTTTTTGTTGGAAAAAAATGGATGGAAATGCTTCGTTCATTCCGTTACGAAAATGATTCGATTTTCAGTAATTTTTTTAAGTCCCAAGGCATGTATTCTAATTCAATATCCCTGTCGTTTATGCAAGTAAAATTTGATTCCAAAGGTTATCTGCACTCAGTTTAAAGATAAAATGTGCAGTCAATATGAAATAAATGTTGTCTCGAAGACTAGGAAGAAAATAACACACAAACAACAAGCTAAATATATCAAAAGGGAGGATCTCCAACAAACCGTTCAACATCGACGTCTTTAACACGCTGTCATCTCGTGTATGCGTGCACTTTTACAATATGTTACGTTCGGTAATACAAGGTGCAAAACGCTTTCATCAACCATTTGGATATTTGACCAGGAATGTAGTTTCTAATTGGGTGAGTTTGACAACAATTTTTCCCCTGTAAGTTATTAATTACCGGGTATTATTTAATAGATGTTAGCAGACTGATAAAAATCAGTAGCAGAATATTTTTTAAGTTCTCCCTGATATCTATTTATCCAAGACTTCGATGTGTATTCTGTTTGTTTTATCACATTCATTGTAGACTGAGAACACAATTGAAAAAGCACATAGCCCTTGTACCGTCTCATTTATTGCATTTAGTCGAGTTAAATTGTTAAATTATTATAACTTGATTTTGTTGCAGCAATGTATGAATGGAATACATGTAGCATGGCGAAACTTAAAGAACGAACATGTCAAATTTTATTCTACAGGTAAATATTCTACATACATGGAGTGTAATAGATGGTGTATATATTAATTAAAATTCCTGATTATAGAAGACAATTATTATCCGTAGAAGATGTTAAAACATATCGACAGAAAACTAGTAAGAACATTTGGACTTTACCCATATACTATTTCAAAGATTCTCATAAAAGTGCCATCGCTCAATCAATTGGTAAATTCCATCTACATCATGTAGAGAACTTTCTTCCGTATATTTTTCAGTATGTATAAAGTTAGCATCTGATGAAGAAGAAACTTCTAAACTATAACAAAATATATTTAAAGAAAAGAATACCATTTTGGTCTCATATTAATTTTTGTCTTCCTGAAATAGAAATACTGAATATTATTCTTCATATTAAAACATTGACTCGCGAACGTTTGTATCATACAGACATTCCTAAATAAGATACCCTTGAAAATCCATTAGATGGCTATTCATATAACCTAACTCATTTTATCATTCATGAATAATTCATAGGCGCATCATATGTCATTGCGATATCTCTTTTGCTCTTATGTTATGCATAAAAAAGTCTGTTCTTTTTTATCAGATGATCCGCATTACGTAGAAATTGATTTCTCCAAGAAAACCTACGACGATGAATCTAGCGCAGATAAAGACCTTAAAACTATTTCTCCAGTGTTGGAGGAAAAACCAGAATTCGTCTACATAGAGCGGATCCAAGAAGAGCACTACTGGGGTAGGATCCGCTCCCTGATGAGGAGGCTGGGATACACAGGGTACCTTGAGGATTTGAGGCACGGCAGGGGTAGAGGGGTATTTATCAGAGACGATGTTCTCGAAGTCATCAAGCCGTATTATGGGACGGTGTACAGGTCAAGGCGACCTGATCCAATCTAAAACTCACAGAATACTAGAACTGGTATAAGCTGATCCGGTGATAGAAACTGATTTTTATTATATATGTTGTGATTATTGCTAACAAAACAAATTAAATTGCTTGCATAATTATAGTGATCTACAAGTATATACGTTTTATACATATTAATTTTTATCTACAAATATGTAATTAAGCTCTGTTTACATGGATTCATTTACTTAGAGGTGTAAATTTTACATGATTGTAGTCAAATTTTATCCTTGGTATGTGAATGAACTATTTTCATTGCGTTCACAAGCACTCTCAATCTGTACGGAAATCAGTAGTACGTTTAAGTACTTGTTTTGGATTTCTAGTTGCTCTTCGACTCACTCTATGTTCCTCCCATATACTAAGAAACACACGTTCAATTCTTGCTTAAATGCTACTTAAAATAATATTTGGACATGATAATAAAACAGCAGGTCACTGTTTTTTTTCTAATATAAAAAAGATGCATTTTCAATGATATCGGTGATGCTATATGTTAAAGATGATCTCAATATTCCATACCTGTGTAAGCTTTACTATGCGTTCACATGACTGAAAAAAACTCACATAATAAATTACTCATATAGAATTAAAAATTGTGCACTAATTTTAGTAGAAAAAAAATACACAATAACAAATCTTGCTTTCCCATTTTACATGCACCAAAATGCATCCGGGTGCAAAATATGTAAAATTTTGCATGCAAGTGAATAGGGCTTAAAAATACAAAGTATTATGAGCCATAAATACATTGTATGTATGTAAATAATTTTACTTATTTATTACAAGTGTGCTTTAAAGGTTTGTCAGTAATTGACATATTTATTGTGATCAATAAATATGTAAGTAATATACGTTTTAAATATAATCTACAAATATTAAGAATTACGCTTACATATATCGTTGACGTTTCCACAAGGGGTAATGTTCTTTTAAAGGTCTGAACAAAAAAGAGGATTTTATAATTATGAATTTGTAACTTTCTTGCAAAATGTCTTGGAATGATTGACTGATTGATTGTATGTTGTTTTACGTTCCATTCGAGAATTTTTCACTCATATAGAGAGGTCACCATATACAAGGTGAAGGGCTTCAAATATAGACCTTTAGTCGGCACTTAAGGCCATTGAACAGTGAGGGATCTTTATCGTACCAAAGCCATTCGTGACATGAGGCCTCGGTCTTTAAGGTCTCATGCGAGGGACCCGCAACTTGCATTTTGAAGTGCTGATCGAGTGGTTGGCAAAGGCACGGTTGCTACCTTATTTACTTAATTCTTTTTTGATTTCAAGAGTAAAAAAAATATTAAATGCATTTTTTTTTTAATTTAAGATAGTTAAAAAATATTTTTCAAAAATTAAATCGTTCATAACAGAAGTGCGAAGTAATTAAATATTGAACCCTTTTGATGCCTCGGGTATAATTGAAATAGAATATTCTAGCTTATTCCAACATTTTACATCGACGCACAACCTGCGCCACGACGTAGATCGATGGAATGTTTGTAAACAAACACAGTGTGTATATCGTCACGCTCGCATTAAAAGAATAAGGGAAAAAGAAAATGGATAGTTTGTTTGTGTCAGTGTTCAGGTCATCATGCAAAGCTTAAAAAGTGTTGGGAATTACCTAATGCGGGAATTGTCACATAGTAATGTTCAACATTTTTCAAATTCATCGAAGGTAGGAAAACTATATAAAATAATACAAAAATGAAAGTTAAAGACTTGGTAAACGATTATAAATATCACATGAAAATAAAGTTGGTTGAACATATTCATTTCAGTGACATATTGGTAGGCAGGCTTAATATAAATGTATATTACATGCGACAAAATGACCAGTTATTTATGTTTTAAAGTAACTGTAAAAATATTCAAAACCCGCTTGCTTTTGTTTTTAAATTTCAAAACGTGCTGCATAGCCGAATTCCAGTTTTCAACTAAAATTGCTTAATTTTGCCTTTAAAATTTACGAAGTGCACTCATGCCCAATAAGTATCAGTTTTCACTTTAATTTTTGAAGTTCTTTTTCAAAAAGTTTCTTTGAAGATTGCAGTTGATGTTACGATGCTTAATATTCCATTTTCCTGCATTTTTAAAAAAGTTGTAGAGGTCTTGCTTAGAACATGGAAGTATGTTTCTTCATTTGCGTGCTCTGCATTAGTCCTGATATTTATTACATGTATTTACATGTACATTCATTTTTTTTCCAGGTTTTGTTTGCATTCTGTTCAAATTGCAGAGACAAAAGTCTTTCCAAAGAGTTCGTACTATCGGGTAAGCAACAGTTTGTTATGGACGGCTGTCCCTCAGACAGGAAGAGTAACTCTTGAAATTATCATTTTATTAGAAATGATCATTTATTTAAATAAATCTCAAAAAGAAGCTTTATTAAAATTTTAAGCTTCTTGATATAACCCATGGTTATTTGAAGTTTTTGATCAGTATTGTAAATAGTTGATATTTGCATCCTTTAAAAGTAGAACCTTTTCTATATTCATAGAGAATTTTTTTTATATAAAATTGGATATAATCAAATACCAATTTCTTTTATTTTTTGTAAAGCAAACAATGATATCGGGAGTGATCTCTGATATGTTATTATGATATAACATGCTATTTACAGGCCTATTTTATAAGAACAGAAGTTATCAGAGGAACTAAAATACCACATAAGTAAATGCATCAAAACATTTCGCGGACATCTAGATCTGAATAATACCTGTTTTGCTATCCTGAAATATATTTGTTGAATAAGTTTTAATTATAAATTGCTTTATTGACCCTTTTATTCACTTTCCCTTAAAATATACTTGATTTATAACTTTCCCCTTATGATATTATCATGGCTTTTAAAGAAAATAACATGAGTGTAAAGTTACATATTACATTATGAATTCAGTGACTTTTTGTAAGCATTTTAGTAACCGCTGGTTTTCAGAACCTGAAGATGGACTATCTAAATGAGAACAAGTAGTTACCTTTCAGTTTAAAGACAAAATGCAGCTTTCATCTTTATTTCGGAACATTCTAAAAACCAATTTTAATCTATCATTAGCTGAAGACCTAGACTGCCTTAGAGTAGACTTTTCCTCCCAGGATTACGATCTGGACCGATACTCTCCAACTATAAGGAACCAAAACGAAGAATTCCTACGCGAGATCTCCGTAATTAAACCGGAAGTGATCTTCGTCGACCACATACAGGAAAGTCAATATCTGATGCAGACTAAAGGCACACTAAGGACTCTGGGATATACTGGACATCTCAGTGGACTCAAAAAAGGACGAGGACTGGGCATTTTCGTAAGGAAGGATGTTGCTGAAAGCTTGCGTGATGCATCTGTATCAGTATCCGGTAACATATCAAAAATGTTTGATCCCTTGTAGTTTTTAAGGATTATGTGATAGACATTCTTTTAATTACATAACAATAACATTACAATCAAGTGTTTTGAAGAAATGAGATATATGTATCTATTTGATATAGAGATGAACATTTTTATAGATTTACAATTTCATTATCTTAGCAATAAACGGTGATTTTCAGGTAAAAACTGTATTATTAGAATAATTTTCCTGTTATTTTTATAGTTTTTAATTGTTTAATAAAATTATGAATACATCTCTTGAGTTTCTTTTATGTTGAAAAAATCAATAAAAAACTAAACAAGCTACTTCATTTCGTTTAAATGTGAAAGTTCACAAACATATATGATAAGAAGCCTCATACTGTTTAGATAAATTTTCAAGAACCAAAAATAAGTAAGTTTAAGTATTATTACCATCAATGTATATGTTTCCGATTAAAAATTTGGAACAAACACAAAATTTTTGCATCCCAATTTGTTGTGTGTTTGTTTGTTTCACGTCCTTTCAAGAATTTTTCACTCATATTGAGACGCTCGGGAGGCCCGGGTTCGATTCTCGTTTGCAGCGCCGCGTCAAACCTAAGACGTAAACATGGGTAGTGACTGTTCCATTGCCAAGATCCCGACACTAGAAGTAAAAGTCAAGGGTCTTTTGGATGAGACCTTAAAAACCGAGGTCCTGTGTCACGACAGGCTTGGCACGATAAAAAATCCTCTCTGTTCAATGACCCTGAGTGCCGAGTAAAGGTCAAAATTTGAAGCCCGGAATACGGTGACGTCTCTATATGAGTGAAAATTCTCAAATGGACGTAAAAAATATGCACTGTACACTCAATCAATCATATTGAGACGCCACCAATTGCCGATGGAGGGCTGAAAATTTAGTCCTGTACTCTGCACTTAGGACCATTGAGCAGTAAGGGATCTTATTCGTGCCAGCATTTACTGCGACACGGAACCTCGAATTATACAATCTCATCCAAGGGACCGGTCTCCACGTCCTGCAGTGGGGATTCTAGAGCAAAGACTTTGACCACCGCTCCACATGGGGCGAGTTTTGTGTGACTCTGATATTCGCTAAATCGTATCAGTTCTACCTAAAGAAAACGTTATTTCATGAAATATGAAGATGACGAACATAATTGAATTTTCCAATATAATCTTGTAGCGTTTTCTCCAGTTCTCCAGAGCATTATTGTATACATCCCGTAATTTTATTTTTTTTTTCTAAATGTTACAATGTAACAGTATAATGTCATTACACACCTTCTACATGTAGTAACAAGCCGCATGTACAGTGCAGCTGTATTCAAGGTATTTCTAAGTATGTTAGAAAAAACGTGCAAACACTCTGTCTTCTGTTTTTGACAGAATTCATCAATATTTGAAATATTGGAAAATGAGGGTGTGCACAGTGGTTCTAGCTAGCATTTCTTGTTAAACCCAACTGACACTTATGAATTGCATTTTTTTGCTAAGATCAAAGGATATCCAAAATACAGAAATAGAAGCTTTTTGATATAGCTTTTTGTGTTTTGTTGTTTTGGTTCAAATTAGTTTGATATATGGTAAACTACGATAAATTTATATCATTTTAAGGGACTTTAATTTTTCATGTTTTGCTTTGAATTCCAATATAGATATAACAGTTTAGTTTTGAGGGAAATGTAAAATAAGGTTTACTTGATATGACAATTTGTAATAAATATGTGTTTTACAATAATAAAACATAAACAAATTGTTTTACAAAATTCTGTGAGTATCCTATGTGTCATTAAAACGTTATCAAGCCTTTTATTTAATACGCTATGAATTGCTTTTTAATATAACTATTTACTGTCAGGCCTTTATAAGTATTTGGATCTGTTATTTCACCTGATTAATCATTCTGCCAGCTGTAAAGGTTTTGTACTGTGAAATAAACAAGCAACCTTTATAGGTATTTGGATCTGATTTATCACCTGATTAATCATTCTGCCAGCTGTAAAGGTTTTGTACTGTGAAATAAACAAGCAACCTTTATAAGTATTTGGATCTGTTATATCACCTGATTAATCATTTTGCCAGCTGTAAAGGTTTTTTACTGTGAAATAAACAAGCAACCTTTAGAAGTATTTGGATCTGTTATATCACCTGATTAATCATTCTGCCAGCTGTAAAGGTTTTGTACTGTGAAATAAACAAGCAATAATAGAAATAATTTCCGAATAGAACATTTTTTAACACTGTAAAGGAAAACTACGTTAACTGAGGAATTTGCTCGTACAAAATTTGTGACGTAAAGGATAAGTATGGACCAAACTGGAATGGGAAAAAAGAAAAACAATAATCTAAGAGAAAAGTCAAACAATCGGCTATTCCTAATATCTCATTAAATAATTGATATGGTATCGAATAAAAAAAATATTAAGGTCCAATAATTAAAATTATTTTGTAGTTTGAAAAAAAAAATCAAGGGGAAGAGGTAAAATATATTTGTAATTGGATCAAAAGTAAAACCCTCAGTTTTGTGGAAAACCACTTCGAACTACTCTACCATAGATTTAAGTATCTAAATTTAAATGGGTAACTTTATGGCACGGATATTGATAATGTATTTTCAAGGTGTGGCCATGGCGTACCTCCATTTACAATTATATTTTAATCATATATGCCGTCACCCTTACCCTTAGAGAGAGAAGTAAACAATGTCATGAAGTTTGAAGAAATGTACATCATTTGTCCAAGCGTACAAATTTACAAATGGAATACAGTTTAACGGGTATTTTCCGCGTTTGTCCTTTTTTGCGGAATTTTGCGGATCTGTCAAATCGAAAGAATTACAATCGCAACCTATTCGAAAAATATAAATTCAAATATTCTTCAAGAAAAGATTTTTTCTAAACAAACTTTAAGATAAGTTGTTTTATGTCAGTTGGCCTGACTTAAATGTTTTTCAAAACTGTTGGCTGTATATATATGCCATTTATGTTTATTGTGAAATATATGGAGATAACGAAACAGTATTCAAGCTCAAAAGTCTATTAAACAATACAAAATAGGAGCAGAGCAAACACGGACCTTCAAACATCAGAGGTGGGATCAGATGCCATGGAGGAGTGAGCATCCCCTGCCGACCGGTTACACCCGCCGTGTGCTCCTTGTCATGATCGGGAAATAACGGAAAAATCCGTCGACAATTCAGTGTGTAAATAATGGCCTAACAAATAGTATGAAAAACATCAGTCAGCATTTGACTCAATGATAAATTGTATTTGCTGAAAAGGTCATTGTATCGACCATAGAACTGTAACGATCGCTCCCCCCCCCCTTTTTTTCATGTGTTATAATGTGTTGAATGTCAAGCATCGTTATGTTATCTAATTACACGTTTGTTGATCGTTTACTTGTACATACATAGTTGTAAAGTTGTACAGTAATTTATCATAACCTCATGATTACCTTAATTGTCGTGTGATCGATGTTTTTAGCGTTCTCGAGCACACATGTTTTACTGAAACTTCTGCCGCCGCCATACTTTGTTTACTTGTGTATTTTCCCATGATGCTTCACGGTGTATTGATCTATTTTTACCGTAGTTATTTTGGCGGAAGATTTGATTGTAGATTCTGTTTAATTAAATGTTAAATGTGCTTTTAAAGTGTAAACTTATATTTTATTAATTTATTTACGTATTGTAATAATTTTACATACGATGTACGAGAGTGAGATTTCATTACGGGATGATAATTATGTATGATTGGCTAATTATTAATTACGGGATGGAATTATTAATTATGATTGGTTATTAATTATTGCGGGTTTTGGAAGTTCTATAAATACACAGACGCTGAGTATCGGGTGCTCTCTCGTTTCCTTTGTGTCCTAAAGAAAGGTCGCCAGTTTTATTTGTCCAGATTAAGGTGTGTACTATTTCAGTATATACATGTGACTGAAGTAAATATGTAGTGCTAGGCTTAATTAATATTACTAGTCATTGTGCTAGTTTCATTTATTATTACTAGTTAAGAACTAGTTATTTCTATTTTCTGTAAGAGTTAGGAAATACTTCGGCTGCGTGCTAGTAGTTGAACTAGTAGCGGGAATATTTATTTGTAAATTTAGTCATTTATAGAGAGCCTTTAAGTTTTAGTTTGGTCGAGGGAATTTATATATAAATGTTATACTGGAAATAGTGCCAGTTTATATCCGTCCGTATCAGTAGTTGTACTGATTTTTGTCTTTTGTCCCAAGGGTTGAGACTTGTTGAGACTTGTCAATTTTACACACTGTTACTCATTTTCGCTGTTGAACTATCTCAATAAATTATAAACTTTATTTAGCGACTTGGTTTTTATTCCTAGCATTTGCGGGAGTGTTTGACATCCGAAGAACTTACGAAATGATGACTTTAAACGAGACAGCTGATATTCTTGTTTCATCAACTTATTTGTCAATAATTTACCTCGTTTTAGAAATTGTACATACGTAGAGCATACTCTTGCATATCGAATCAACTGAGAGATATATTCTCCGTATGCAGGTGGTGAAGGTATATTGCTGTATAAGTAAGGGGAGTTAACGATTGAAAAGTTAAAGTCATCACGTTTATCATAAAGCTTGGTTGTTAGATTACCATTAACGTCTTCTTCAAGTGAAATATCCAAATATGAAACAGATGTGTCAGACTCTGTGGTATCTTTTATCTCAAGTTCACCAGGATATATCGTATCGACATATGAATGGAAATAGCCATTGTTAATTGACAATACGTCGTCGATATATCTAAATGTCGAGTTGAGGGCCACAGCAAGTGTTTTCTTCTTTTCACGTACAAGATTTTCGACAAATTATGCTTCATATGAATACAAAAAAGGTCCGCTAATAACGGGGCGCAATTGGTACCCATGGGAATTCCAATAGATTGTTGGAAGACCTGGTCTCCAAAAACCATATAGATATTGTCAATTAGAAACTCAAGCATTTTTTAATGTCAACTTCAGAGTACTTGTGTGTACAATCAAAATGTTTTCTAACAAAATAATTTTGCAAATGACCAATGACAAGGTAAGTATATTTACGAGTTCCATTTTTCTTGAAAAAGCAGCTGTCAATGATATCAAAAAGCCTGGACTTTAATTTATCGTGGGGAATGGTTGTGTATAAAGTTGAAAAGTCGTAAGTTTTTAAACTGTTGATTTTGTAAAATCTTGTGATTTCAAATTTTCCAAAAGTTCCTTGGAATTTTTAAGTATCCACATGATTTACACCACTTC